AGAACACCACCGGAACATAAAGGTCTCTCCTCTGACTAGTCCTTTGAATCACGGCCTGCCTGCCTTGAATGATGGTTGGCTGTATAACTAGTTTCCCCTCAACAGACTGGTTTAAGTAGGTAAATGGGTATGCTCCCCAGCAGTGTTTGAAACAAGCTCTGGAACAGATCTACTAATAAACAGTAGAATAGGACCTGTCAAAACCATGTTAATTACACTGAACCCTTGCTGCAGTATTCTAACAAAGAACTCAGGATACCACATAATTTCATTGCCTTCATTTTTCCCAATTTAACATATAAAAAAGCACTGTACCAGGCAGCTAATGAGACACTTCAGTAAATAAAATGTTGTCATCCAGTTTTGTCAATGCCACTTTCTTACCAGTCTTACAGACTTTTTTGGGTTGCCTCGGGGGAACCCAGAGGCTACAGTCACAGGAGTCACAGGAATTTATGTCAGATTTTAGCTCACTTTACAGCCCTCAGCAACTGCTCTTCATCCATCCCCAGCCAGAACAACTCACAGAAAGGAGCTAATATACAAAACTCCAAAACAATGAAAAAATGGTATTTTTTTCTTATCAATGAAAGTTCTCATTCCTTACCACACACATCGCCCCACATCTCTGCCTTTCTCTGATTTTTTTTTCTTGGCCTTACCTTTTTTTCAACAACCAAAATAAAACCAAACTGCATTTGTTTCCAATATTTCATTCCTGAAATGCTCTCTTCCTCTGTCATCAAAACTTTCTTTTTGCACAGCCAGGCTAGGCCAAGTCTCACTCTGCTTGTTTCCCAGGCTATTTCCATCCATAACAGTCCTTTCTCTTGACTTAATTCTTGTGATTATTATTATACTGTTTCCAATAACATATCTTACACTGTCATCTGAATTTGCTTATACTTTTTTTTTTTTTTTTTTGACAGGCAGAGTGGACAGAGAGAGAGAGAGAGACAGAGAGAAAGGTCTTCCTTTTGCTGTTGGTTCACCCTCCAATGGCCGCCACGGCTGGCGCGCTGCGGCCGGCGCACCACGCTGATCCGAAGCCAGGAGCCAGGTGCTTCTCCTGGTCTCCCATGCGGGTGCAGGGCCCAAGGACCTGGGCCATCCTCCACTGCACTCCCGGGCCATAGCAGAGAGCTGGCCTGGAAGAGGGGCAACCGGGACAGAATCCAGCGCCCCGACCAGGACTAGAACACGGTGTGCCAGCGCCGTAGGCGGAGGATTAGCCTACTGAGCCACAGCGCCGGCCAACTTATACATTCTTTAAAAGCCCAGACCAAAGCTTATGCATACTTAAAAGTCCCACCCGTGACACATACAGCAACATACCTGGAGTGTGGACTCAGGAAGTCTCCACTGAACAATAACCACTTTGACACCCACCTGGATTTCTCAACCAATATTTTCATTCATACAGATAACAGAAAGGCCCTCAAAAGCCTCTGTAGACAGAACCTGTGGGCACTTTCCAGATTCAGTTAAAAGAAAGTCAAGCCTAAGGGGGTGAAGGGGGAAGCTGTGGCTGAGCCAAGAGAAAACCAGAGTGTCCCTGCCTTACAAAATTAAATGTGTAATGGCTAAGCACCATTCTATCAACCTGATTCTCACCCTCAACTCAATGCTGTTGTGCACTAAGAGGCAGGTGCTATTATAACTGCACTGTTTCAAATAATCCAAAATCTCTGATAATGCTCAAGTCATTCCTCTGGGATTTGGAAATGAGTAGCATGATTTGGAGATTAATGCGTACTCTTTCAACAATGTGAAAAAGCACCGATACATTTCTGAATTAGGATACTGTAAATGACTCTCTCACTGCTTTGAAGAAAGCTTGCCTGAGATGCAATTTGTCAGGGTAGATGATCCATCTATATATAATCAAGACACTGACACTGTATCAAGTCTTGGAAAAGTGGGACAGAATACTACACAGATTACATCATATTTACCCCTGAAGGGATGATGATAATCAAAGATATTACACATAGACAAATAAACAAAATGCAGCCTAGAGCAAAGATTATATATTATAATAACAGATTTCATCGGACAAAAGAAATAACTGGAGCTGAAAATGTTCTCAGTTAAAACATCTCGGATGGATGGCAGGGGTTGGGGGTGAGTACCTGTGTTGTGGCACAGCAGATAAAGTTGCTGCTTGTGATGCCACCAATCCATATGGGCACCAGTTCATGTCCCAGCTGCTCCATTTCCAATTCAGCTCCATGCTAATGCACTTGGTAAAACAGCAGATGGTGATCCAAGTACCTGGGCCCCTCCTACCCACACGGGAGCCTCAGAAGAAGCTCCTGGCTCCTGACTTTGACCTGGCCCAGTACTGGCTGTTGTGGCTATTTGGGGAGTGAACCAGGGAATGGAAGATGTCTCCCTCCCTGTCTCTTCCTTTAACTCCAACTTTAAAAATATAAATAAAATTAAAAAAAAAAAAACCTCAAGGCCAGCATTATGGCAACAGGTTAAGCCACTGTCTGCGATGCCAGCATTCCATATAAGTGCCAGTTCAAGTCCTAGGTGCTCCACTTCTGACCCAGATCCCTGCCAATGTGTCTGGGAAGGCAACAGAATATGGCCCAAGTGCTTTGGCCCCTGCCACCCATGTGAGAGGCAGGATGGAGTTCCAGGCTCCTGGCTTCAGCCTAACCCAGCCCCAGCTGATGCAGCCATCTGGGGAGTAAAATAGTGGATAGAAGATCTTGCACATGCTCTCTCACTCTCACTCTCCCCTTCTAACTCTGCATTCCAAACAAAATAAATCTTTTTTAAAAACTGTGTGATTATGAATTCTTAGCAGATTAAAAAATGAGCACAGGCCGGCGCCGCGGCTCACTAGGCTAATCCTCCGCCTAGCAGCGCCGGCACACCAGGTTCTAGTCCCGGTCGGGGCGCCGGATTCTGTCCCGGTTGCCCCTCTTCCAGGCCAGCTCTCTGCTGTGGCTAGGGAGTGCAGTGGAAGATGGCCCAAGTGCTTGGGCCCTGCACCCCATGGGAGACCAGGAAAAGCACCTGGCTCCTGGCTCCTGGCATCGGATCAGCGCGGTGCGCCGGCCGCAGCTTGCCGGCCGCGGCGGCCATTGGAGGGTGAACCAACGGCAAAAGGAAGACCTTTCTCTCTGTCTCTCTCTCTCACTGTCCACTCTGCCTGTAAAAAAAAAAAAAAAAAAAAAAAAAAAAGAGCACAGGAGCTGGCACTGTGGTGCAGAGGGTTGACACCCTGGCCTAAAGCACCGGCATCCCATATGGGCACCGATTCTAGTCCCGGCTGCTCCTCTTCCAATCCAGCTCTCTGCTATGGCCTGGGAAAGCAGTTGAAGATGGCCCAACTCCTTGGGCCCCTGCACCCCAGTGGGAGACCCGGAAGAAGCTCCTGGCTCCTGATCGGTGCAGCTCTGGCTATTACGGCCATCTAGGGAGTGATCCATCGGATGGAAGACCTCTCTCTCCGTCTCTACCTCTCTCTGTAATTCTTTCAAATATAAAAAAAAAAAAAATGAGCACAAATTACCAAATTAGTAACCATACATGTACTAGTATACAAATATATTATATACATTACAAACACACAATACAAAATTTTAAAAGGCAGAAAAGAAATAGGCCCAGTCTTCCCACACCCAGTAGGCTACTAGGCAAATCCCTAAGGGTTCATGACCCCCACTTTGGAGCCACAGCTTTAAAATACTTAAAAAAGTACAAAGACAAAGGTAATTAATTACCTGAAAAACTCCTGAATTACTTTCTTTCCCTTACTAATGCAGATGTGCCCTTAATTTCATAGCAAATCCATTAAAATTCTAACAGTAAAAAGTCAGAGAATAGGAAATACACACACACACACACACAAATCTTGGGAACTTTACACCAGATGGTGGCAAGAAGCTACAAACTGTAAACAATCCAGAAGCAAAATTGATGTCATTCCTTTTTGATGTAAACTGTGTCCCCTATAATTGCTATGATATACAGGCTCAGTACTTTAACCCATGTGCTCTTTATGGCCACAGGAAGAACTGGGTAGTCATTAAAAAACTGTCACATAAATAGCCACTTACCAGCTCACCTAGGGAGTGCAATGTTGGACAAATAGTAAAAAAATGCCAACTTTGCTCATTTTACTGCTTGTAAACTCCCTGAGGAAAGAGGAGGACTGGTGAATTTTCTGAACATTCAACTCTTAATTGCCACACAACCCTGCTTGTGTGGCAAGCAGATCAGAGAAAAGTCACAGAGAAGTCAAGATGAATCATTTTAAAAAAAACTTTTATAACTAATTTTGTAATAAAGAAGACATACATTCAGGTACAGCCAGGCATCTCCTCTCCTTTAATCACCCAAGGATCAACAGCTCAAAAATGGTAGAGCACTTAGGTCAAATACATAGGTGCCACAATCTCATGAGGACAATGGCTAAGTACTGGCTTTGCAACTCACTGCTGATATAACCTCAAGCAATGCATTTACCTTCAGTAGTTTTTCCATCCCATCATCTGTAAAATGAGGAGGCTAATATTAACTATCTTACAGGTTTCTGGAGAAGACTGAAAGACACAAGGCATTTGAAGTACTCATCACAGTACTTGGCAAATGTTTAATAAATGTGTATTTCAGTATTATTAGAGCTTGAGGACTAGATGGAAAGCAGCAGGGAAGAAGGAAAGCAAGAGAATGTAATTATGGTCAAGTGTATCATGAAGGGATGTGAAAGTCACTTCAAGGAACAACTGCTGTTCTGCTAAAAATATCTGAGGAACCAACATGTTTCCTAATTGCTTTCGTGAAAACCATAGTTTTAACCAGATACTTATTCTAGGAAAGTAAGGAGAGAAAGCTGCTTTTCTTCCTATCTGAAAGGGTTTTCCTTCCCCTAGTTTCAGGAAACAAAGTTACCTGTCTTAGAGATAGGAAACCCTGGTTCAGTGTGATGGAGGTCCCTGGGGCTAGGGACACCAGCAGAGAAAGTAGAACTCATACATTACCTGTGCCCAGTGGTTTTTAAATACAATCATGCATGTTTCTGGGTCAACTCCCTGCAGGCTCATAGCCTGCTGGAGTTTGCTTTCTGTAGAAACCGATGACATCATAGACCATCAATGCTTTTAAGTCATATTTAATTTTCATGAAAATTTTGTAAGTAGTCACTAACTTTCAGGAATCATATTAGAAATGTAACTTCTTCAACATTTCATTGTCACCTTCTGAAACCTGTAATGACAATAAGGAAAAAGTGCAACTCATTATGATCACATATTAAATAGGACACTATTCAATTTAAATCACAGCATAGACAGTCTCAAAATCCAATACAAAAACAAATCTACGGAACAACTATTTAAACTCAATCAAAAGGCTTTTCTCTCTTATCTTGCTACTTAAAATATAAAGTAATGATGCTATCTAAGCTACATGCATAATTTACATAATTACTGGATTTCTTCTCTCCAGTATAACGAACCACAACCCCCCCAAATTACTATTCAAAATCACTCTGATCATACAAGAAATTATGATATCAATGTTAGTGGAATTTAAAAGCACCTAGCATTGAAAAATCACGTGTTAATAGTGACAGAAATAAATGGCTTGATTCAACTTGGAAGAGTTATAAAACACTGCCCAGACTACTGCACCCAATATGATTGAATATTTTTTCTAATCAATGACTGTCACAATGAAACTGAAAGCATTCTCAGTCATTCTGTAGCTGTAAACTAGATGAAGGTTTCCAGCTTCTCTAAAAAAAAAAATCACAAAATTCCCAGTAACTTTGACAAATCAGAGATAGAAGTGATCCGTCAAAAACAACAGATGGCTTATTAGGTAGGTATGAATGAATACAAGGGAACACACTTACAAATGGAAAATCAATTATGTGGATAAAATATGAAGAAATCCTTACTACAACAGAGTCAGTAGAGGGGGAAAGATATTGAGATCAAGGAATATACAGGGGATGGTCCTGTGGCGTACCAGGTAAGGCCACTGCCTGCAGTGCCGGCATCCCATATGGGCACCGGTTCGAGACCCAACTGCTCCACTTCCAATCCAGCTTTCTGTTATGGCCTGGGAAAGCAGTAGAGGATGGCCCAAGTCCTTGGGCCCCTGTACCCACATGGAAAGACCCAGAGGAAGCTCTTGGCTCTCGCTTTGGATCGGTGCAGCTCCAGCAGTTGAACCAACTGGGGAATGAACCAGCAGATGCAGACCTCTCTCTCTCTCTCCCTCTGACGCTCCTTCTCTGTGTTAACTCTGACTTTCAAATAAATAAATAAATCTTTTTTTTTCTAAAAAAAAAAAAAAAGAGTATACAATGATCCAATTGTGTGGTGATAACTCGGTGAAAAAAAAAAAAAAGGCAGTGTAATCTTTGGTATTATCTCACCAGTTAGACCAGCCTATGAAAGTACTAGGTACATCTCAAAATAAATGTTTTGGTAGTGTACAGACTGGAAAGAGTTCTGAAGTAAGTAATTACAATCAGCAGAGCACTGGAAAGCAGACTCCATGATAAAAGTTTAGACTTGTAGTGCCAAAGAACGAAAAAAAGCCATCTGTTCTGAACACAGTAACATGAAGGGTATTACAAGGAGAACACTAATCAGCTGTTCCTCTCTACAAACAATAGAATGTGAGAAAGGGGGAATAAGCTGATGACTCAGGATAGACTTATGGATTAAGTTCTTTGTGAGGAGAATTAAACACTGGAAAATACTTTTTCATGACATAAGAAAACTTCCAAGAATTAATAATTCTGAGGAAAGAAACATTTTTAAGAACTGAGGATGATTAAGGAATGCAGAAAGTACAGCCTACTAGGAACACAATGCAAATCACATAGGTGGGGGCCGGTGCTATGGCATAGCAGACTAAGTCTACGCCTGCAGCACTGGCATCCCGTATGGGTGCTGGTTCTAGTTCCGGTTGGTCCTCTTCCACTCCAGCTCTTTGTTATGGCCTGGGAAAGCAACAGAAGATGGTCCAAGTACTTGGGCCCCTGCAATCAGGTGGGAGACCTGGAAGAAGCTCCAGGCTGCAGGCTTCAGATGGGCCGGTACAGCCATCTGGGAAGTGAACCAATGGATGGAAAGCCTTTCTCTCTGTCTCTCCCTCTCTATCTATAACTCTCTCTTAAATAAATAGTTTTTTTTTTTTTAAATCACATGGTTGGGGAAAACAGCTCAATAGCTTATATCTATCTCCTCATAACTGTATTATTAGAATTATTATCTCTCATAATTATATTATTAGAACTGGTGAATTCCCCAACCTATAATTCCCAAAAATACAAAGTTCTTGTCTTCAACAGACATGGTTCACCAATAACCACGGCCCATAGCCACTGAGAAGTATATTTTTGGGGGCCCTTCTGGTATTTTAAATCTCAGGAATGGCCAGCCCACACATGCAAAGTATGTGTTTTCCACTAGCCACACTGCCACCACCTCCTAGGATTTTACAGCTAGTTACCCCCAGCTGTCTGGTTCATCTGGCTAGCCTTGTTAAAACACAGCAGAATGAAACAAGATTTTGAATCAATTGCCTCACTGTCCTAAGCACTGTATTTCAGTGAAGATACCAAGGCCTTTTATTCAGAGTATAATCGTCATTCAAGTGAAAATAAAGAGGAAAATCAAAGTGTTTTGGTTTATCCCAGAGGTTGAAAAACTGAAAGACTTCTTGATATTCTTTCTAGCTCCAGGATTCTAAGATTCATCAAAGGAATGAGAGGAACATACACATGTCAATTGCCTCTAAATCCAAAATAGAAACATATGCTAAGATTCTTTAAGTTAGTTCTCAAAAGAACCTTACTTGCAATCTTTTCAGAGATGTGAGACTGCTGTACAGATAGGAGTCAGCCAATGTCATAGACTTACTACTTATTTATTTATTTATTTATTTATTTATTTTAATTTTTTGACAGGCAGAGTGGACAGTGAGAGAGAGACACAGAGAGAAAGGTCTTCTTTGCCGTTAGTTCACCCTCCAAAGGCCTCCACGGCCCGCACACTATGGCCGGTGCACCGCGCTGATCCGATGGCAGGAGCCAGGTGCTTCTCCTGGTCTCCCATGGGGTGCAGGGCCCAAGCACTTGGGCCACCCTCCATTGCACTCCCTGGCCACAGCAGAGAGCTGGCCTGGAAGAGGGGCAACCGGGACAGAATCCGGCGCCCCGACCGGGACTAGAACCCAGTGTGCCTGCCCCGCAAGGCGGAGGATTAGCCTAGTGAGCCGTGGCGCCGGCTCCTTACTACTTACTTTTGATGGAAAAAATGAAGATCTCTGAGCTCCAATTGTTTTTTCTAGGAATCCATATATTCCTTTCTGATGGCAATACTCCCTGGTCCTATTCACTTTAGGAACCTACATCATTTCTTTTTTGTTTTTCTAAAGATTTATTTTATTTATTTGAAAGTCAAAGTTACACAGAGAGAGGAGAGGCAGAGAGAGAAAAAGGGGTGGGGGGGACCTCCATCCGAAGGTTCACTCCCCAGTTGGCCACAACGGCGAGAGCTGCGCTGATTTGAAGCCAGGAGCCAGGAGCTTCTTCCAGGTCTCCCACGCGGGTGCAGGGGCCCAAGGAGTTGGGCCATCTTCTACTGCTTTCCCAGGCCATAGCAAAGAGCTGGATCGGAAGAGGGGCAGCCAGGACTTGAACCAGCGCCCATGTGGGATAATGGCGCTTCAGGCCAGGGCGTTAACCCGCTGCACCACAGTGCTCCCCACCCTGCAACCCCTCCCCCAAGAATCTACATCTTTTCTAAGAAAAGTGTATCCCACTTGGTTTGTGGTTTTCTAATCATACATCTGAGACAGATGCTGGAAGAATCAATGTGTCATGACCACAGAAACTGCAATAGAAAGAAAACTTGAGAGGAAAAGGATGATGAGGCAAGTCAAACACAGTAAGTCTGAGAAGGCAAAACTATGCCAGAAGATTCTAAAAATGAGAACACTGCCTAACACAAAGACCAGAAAGTTCAATGTTTCTACTCTTTCTCTTTTTCCCATGTTAGATATTAAAACACTGGCAATATAAAACAAAGAGGAGGCAGGCATTTGGCCTAGAAGTTAAGACGCCTGCATCACAAAATGGCTGGTCAATTCCTGGCTCCAGCTTGTGACTCCAGCTTCCTACTAATACAGACCCTGAGAGGCAGCAGGGATGCCTCAAGTAATTGGGTTCCTGACACCACAAAGTAGACCTAGGTTGCGTTCCTGGTTCTTGACTTCATCCTAGCCCAGTCCCAACCACTGTGGACATTTGAGAAGCAAATCAGCAAATGGTAGCATTTTCTTTCTCTAATAAATAATTAATTCTTAACAGTGACTTGATCAGCTCTTGTCCTGACTGTTCATGTACAATGTAAAATTTTATCCATTTTAGTATTTTTTTGGTTCTAGTACCATTGGTTGAACTCTGTAATTAACACTCAATTATTCTTAGGTGTTTAAATTTAACTGAAAAGTGATCCCTGTTAGGAATTTGGAAAACATTATGTGAGTGAAATAAGCCAATCCCAAATACCACATGTTCTCCCTGATAGGTGACAACTAACTGAGCACCAAAAAGGAAACCTGTTAAAGTGAAATGAACACTATGAGAAACGGCGACTTGATCAGCCCTTGCCCTGACTGTTGATGAACAACTTAATACGTTATCCCTCTTAGTATTTTTTTTGTTTGTTCTACTTAATACTTTTGGTTGAATACTGTAATCAATACACAATTCTTCTTAAGTGCTGAAACTTAACTGAAAAGTGATCGCTGTTAAATATAAGAGTGGGAATGAGAGAGGGAAGAGATGTGCAATTCAGGACATGCTCAAGCTGACTTACCTCAAACGGTAGAGTTAGAAACATACCAGGGGATTCCAATTCAATCCCATCAAGGTGGCATGTACCAATGCCATCTCACTAGTCCCAGTGATCAATTTCTGTTCACAACTGATCATAATGATAGGACTAAGAACCAAAGGGATCACATAAACAAGAATAGCGTCTGCAAATACTAGCTGATAGAATAAAAAAAGGGAGAGAACGATCCAACATGGGAAGTGAGATACACAGCAGACCCATAGAATGGCAGATGTCCTAAACAGCACTCTGGCCTCAGAATCAGCCCTTAAGACATGCGGATCCAGCTGAAAATCCCATGAGAGTATTTTAGGCATGGAAAGCCAAGACACTCTGGGGAAAAAAAAA